CTTGAGAAAGTCAGTTGAAATTACAAAGTAATATGATCAGTCCTAGTCAGTGTGATCAGAACACTGAACTCATGATTGCTTTTAAAAGTAAACTGTCACTCCAACCAACCCTTTATGACCCAACTGGAAGCCAAAACACAGCTGGCCCTATCCTTTTTTTCTGATACCCTTCTTACCTCCTTTTCTCCCTTCAAAGTCCTCTTGTGAGGCTGGCAGTGTGATACAGTGATTAGCCCTCAGCTTGCAACACCAATCTCTTATATCGGAGCATGGTTTGAATCCTGGCTGTTCCACTCCAACTCAACTTCCTGCTAATGATTTCATTCTGCCTTTCAAATAGATCAATCTGTGGGAAGAGACTTTACACAACAAAGAAGAGGGAACAGAGTACAGACAACATGACAGGCCACATGGTTTTATCAGTAGCTATGTATACGTGTACAACTCATAACATGAAGACATGCAATCAAAATGTATGCCACCATGTAAGAGGGAGAAATGGACTAACCGGTGTGTAAGACCCTACTGCGTGCCAGGTCCAGCCTTGCGATGCTAGCCTGTTGGGTCTGGGTGGACACCAACACTGCTTCCTGCTGAGCACCTCGGTGTGGTATCTCTCTTCTTGAGAATCCCATGAAAACTCATTTCAAATGCTGTCCTTTTGCTGGTTTGTATATTTGGTAACTTACTTTTGAGACTAAAGATGTATTTGCTTTTCCCCAATATTTCTAGTGTCTTAAGTAAACCTGTCTCTTCACAATAACTTTATCTCTGATGAATTGGGTGACCAGCATGGAGCACCCTGCACATAATTCCATTGCTTTCATAATGTGCTGGGAATGCCGCATCCTGAGAGAAGGAGGACTAGGCCGGCCTGGCATGAAGACGTATCCTTGCACTCCTACAACAGGATGTTCTTCAATGCCCAGTGTGTCATGTGACTCTGACAATATATGATTTCTCAGATATTGTACAAGTGAAGCATGGTTAGGAATGACTCTATTCACCCTTTTCACATTTCCTGAGTCTTTGGGGAAAAGCTCGTGACTTCTAAACATTTACCATCCCTAGAATTGGTAACTAATCTGATATGACACACTTTTTTAAAATTCATGAACCAATATTCACAGAAGATTATATTACTAATTTGGGTCAATAGTTCATATTGGAGATATGGATTAAAGTTGCATAGCCAGTTTTGAGAAATATCGTATCATCAATATTCATATATCACAATAACATATCATCAGTCCACTAGTAGGTATTATAAGTTTCACTGCTCTAAAACTCTCCCATACCCCACATATTCACCTCTTCACTACCACATCTGGCAGATATTGATACTTTTACTGTAGTCTTGCCTTTGCCAGAATGTCATAGAACTGGACTCATACAGTACATACTTTTCAGACTGGCTCATTTCATATACCAGTGGGCCTTTAAGTTTCAATCATGTGTTTTTGCATCTTCATGTATTATTTCTTTAAAAAATTTGTTCACTTGAAAGGCACAGTTACAGAGGGAGGAAAAAGAGTGTCTTCAATCCTCTGGTTCACTTTCCAAATGACCAATTCAAGCAAGGTACTTTCTCCAGTCTCCCTCCTGGGGGCAAGGATCCAAGGCCTCAGGCCATCCTCTGCTGCCTTGCTAGGCTATAAGAAAGAAGAGGAGCAGCAGCCAGGACATGATGGGCACCCATATGGGATGCCAGCTGTGCAGGTTTACACTGATCAGCCACCACACCGGCCCCTAGCATTTCTTTTTAATCATTAAACAATACTACATGTGAATAAATGTATCAGAGTTTATTTATTCATTTACCTACTGAACAACTTGACACTTCCCATTTGGGGGAATTATGAATATTCATGCACACTTTTTTTTTCCACAGGTATATATTTTCAGCTCATTTCAGTACTTAAAAGTACAATGCTGGGTCATATAAGTGTATGTTCAGTTTTGTAAGAAACTATTGAACTATCTTACACATTTGCATTCCCACCAGTAGTAAACAAGTTCCTATCACTCTGTAGCATCAGCAGTATTTGGTAGTGTTTATGTTCTGGATTTTAGCCATTGAAATATATATGAAGTTTTACTTTATTATAACCAATTTGCAAGTCCACAATTATGATGAAAACCTATCCCTAACTATGTCCTTGTGGTAAAATGTCCCTTCATGTCTTAAATTTTAAATGTTCCTATTGAGCTTAAGAAGTTGTTATATACCATAAATGCTAGTCCTATGTCAATAGTTTCAACATTGTCAGAAATCCAAAATGTTGCTGGGATTGTTTTGATTAAACCATTTAAGGGACAATGTATTCCATGCCTCTATCCAAGACCAATTCTTTGCATTATTTGGTTAGTGGCTGTGTCACTTCCGTTTCTGTTTTGCACATTGTAACTTCACCTTCTCTTCTGCTTGCCTTATCTTCTGTGTCTAATAAGGACACTTGTCAATGACTTTATGGCCTATTCGGACTGCAGTGTCAGGGGCAAAGCTAGGTTAAAGCCAGGAGCCTAGAATTCTAATGACTCAATGAAGCAAGTCAGTCCCAAAAAGGCAAATATCATATGTTCTCTCTGATATAAGAGAGCTTTTAGGTAAATTACAAAATAGATGTACATCATGAAATATGTATTCGCACAGATGAACAGTGTAAGGGAGACCACCACACTGGGAAGCAAAGTTACCCTTGAATAAAAGTAGGACTGCTATTTTTAATATAAATATACCCATAGAGTATGACACTAGATTTTATACCTTTACCTCTAGCTATCATGTTATGATACATTTAGGTAGCACAAAGTTTAACTGTCTTTCTTTTAACTGTTACAAAGGGACTGTATCACTCTAATAATTCAGGAAAGAGTAGTGGGAAAGAGATGGAAGAACCCCTATACTTACAAAACTGTATAATATAACAAAAAAGTGGGAAAAACATTAAGAGTCTTCAGGCTAAGCCTCTTCAGTGGCTCAGACAGAACAGTGGACAGCATGTCCAGGTGCACATGGAAAATACAGCAGTGCATTGGAGCCTGCACAGGACACCTGGTGCCATGACAGAGGACAGAACAAATTGATCAACTATCCCAGCCAAATGTTGGCAGCGAATTTCTGGGCAAACGGATACTCTAAAATGGATTATGTCAGCCAGTGGTTTCTAGAGAGATTTCATCAAGCTTGGAATGGCGAGACTGGCAGCAAATCAGAACAGTTGAACTATTGAAACCATCTGAGCAGTGCCTTCGGAGCATGCCCCACTTCAGGGACCCTGGGAGAGTTGGGAGGCTGAGTGTGGCTTCCCTCTTTGTCTCGCCCCTTCCTCCAGATACAGGAAGGGAAAATGAGAATGTGGAAACAATGGTCTTACCCACTTTCCTCTAGCCCTTGACCCTTTGAGCCCTAATCAACTATGTAAAGATCATCAAAATAAAGTAATAATAAAAAGAAGAATCTTCTGCTCTGCTGTACAATTTGTGTGTTTGAACTGTCAGTGCTACTGGTCCCAGACTAGATGCATTCCTAGGTGTGATGCATTCCTCACAGCATTAGGGGAGTTTCCTTGAGCTTTTACATAGCACACATTAGATCAGGATTGCTCTCTTAATCTCTCTACTCCTCATTCACCCACTCTGACTAATCAGGTGTTCTGATTTCTCTTTCTGAGTTTAAGAGCAAGTCTTATTTTGTCCTTATTCCTTTCCAGTTTTATCTGTAATTCTCCATTGTTTTGCTCCTAAGAGTAATCATCTAACTCTAAGCTCATAAAAATATTAAGACCCAAAATAGGTTTCCACATGTATGCATCCTGTTTCTGAGAAATTATATGATCTAAAGATACTCACCTCCTACAAATATGTACTAAACCAGTGACTTCATCCACCAGCAGCAAAAAGAACTGCGTCAGCTGCGCCAGCCACAACAAATCTCAAGCGTTTTACCTCGGAAATATTGTGCTCAACCAAACCTGTTGCAACCCAGTCAGCATTTCTTGAGGACTTATTTAAAAGGCAGAGTTCACTCCCTAAATGACTATAATGACCAGGACTAGGCTGAGCAGCAGCCTGGCACCTGGCACTCCATCCATGTTTCCCACAGGGGTACAGGAACCCAAGCATTAGGGCCAGCTCTGCTGCTTCTTCCAGGTCATTAACTAGGGACTGGATGAGATGGAGCAGCTGACATTCCAAATGGCAATGTTGACATTGCCAACAGCTGCCCAAATCACTACACTGCATTGGTACCGCCCTCGACCCAGTCCAGTCCCATCCCATCCCAAAATTATGTTAGCTTTTTTTTTTTTTTTCCCCTAGGAATTACAGGTTAACTCTTGAAAGAGCCTCTGGTTTGGGCTCAGGGTTTATGCTTTTTTCCTTCTGAGCTTCAGCTCACAAGCCAGGAGTTAAAACCGTGGAATGCTCTCATTCTCCTAGGGTGACAACGGCACCCCAGGTAAAAAGCCAGTCACGAATCATATGACTGCACCACTTGGTCTTTGTGGATAACCAGTTCCTGCAGCAAAGATTAATGCTCATCTCATCTGGTGCAGCGTTGCCCACTAGCTCCAGGATCTTAGCCACGAAGAACTACGGCACGGTACCAACTAGGTGGCACAGTGATGACACTCTTCCTGTGCAGGAAGAGTCATAGTCCCACGCAAAATTGGTTTCTGGGCCGCCACGGAGAGCCACTTTGCCACCTTCTACTCAAAAGTATAGCAGTTACAGCTGAAGAAACTGCCGTTATGGCGGCTTTAAGCCCATTTATATTCCAATGGAGGACTGTGCCTTGTTATCTGATTGGCTGATGACTATCTAGCCAATCAGACAAGCTTTCTGATATCTCCTCATTTACATACATATTGTTAACATTTATCCAATCAGGCCTTGAATGCCTTGAACGTCACTGGCGCAGTGGGCCTATAAATACCACCTTTGTTGCTTCATCAGACGCCGATTGTTTTTTTAACGTCTGCTGGAGGAGAAAGGCCGCCATGCCGGAGATTATCTCAAAGGGTGCCACCATTTCAAAGAAGGGCTTTAAGAAAGCTGTCACGAAGACCCAGAAGAAGGAGGGGAAAAAGCGAAAGCGATCCCGCAAGGAGAGCTATTCCATTTACATATACAAGGTACTGAAGCAGGTGCACCCTGACACGGGCATCTCATCCAAGGCCATGAGTATCATGAATTCTTTCGTCAGTGATATTTTTGAACGCATTTCGGGCGAGGCGTCGCGCCTGGCGCACTACAACAAGCGCTCGACCATCACGTCCCGGGAGATCCAGACGGCCGTGCGCCTGCTGCTGCCCGGCGAGCTGGCCAAGCACGCCGTGTCCGAGGGCACCAAGGCCGTCACCAAGTACACCAGCTCCAAGTGAAATGATCGCTTCTCCAATGCAGAGTTCACAAACCAAAGGCTCTTTTAAGAGCCACCCATCTTTTCTCCTAACGGGCTGAAGGCTGTCGGTGGCTGTCGCCTCTTCACAATCACAGAACTCTGGGCTGGTTGGTAGACTGTTGAATGATAACCCTCTCTGGAGAATATTTTATGGGGAAATACCATGCAGTGATGTCTATGCTAAAGTATTTTAAATTAAAGGCAATTTGAAACCTTTCATGGTTACTTAGGTAGCTTCCCTTTTAACGTTTTCATGAAATACCTTGTAAATTCATAATAACCTGTATTTATGTAATACTTCATACTGGAAAGTAAAACCCATGTGATTAAGGACCTCCGTTACATTGCTTTCTTACATATACACCACACCCATTGACAGAGGGAGTGCTTCAAGAGTGAAAAACAACTTTGAGCTTTCCTGATAAAGAATATGAGAAGGGACATGCAGCTGCTTGCCCTGCTGGAAATGCCCAGCCCTCGGGAACTAGTGATGGCTGACTTCTGGAGCAATGCAGCGAAGGCTTATGAAGGGCTGGCCCCCCTTGGGCCTTACCCTGCAAAGAGTTTCCCTTACCCTGATTGCCTCATGGGAGATGAGACCAGGAAGTTTCTCTTTTGAGAGCTAACTTTTCTCTTTTCCAGCAAGCCCTTTCATTTTCTGAGTTCAGAGGTGTTCTGGTGACTTTATGGTAAGTACAGCGTCCAAGTTTCTAATTAGGCCCTTTGCCCAACTTCCTGGTACCTTTTTTTTCCCCTCTCTGCTCAAGGACGCTGCAAGACCACAGTCTCTAAGCAGAGATAGCTGCCCTCACTCTTGCTTCCAGGATAAACCAAACTACAAGGTCTGTGACTGTGCCTAACCCAAGTTGGAAGTACACATTGACTTGTTCCCAGCACATTTTGAAAGAAACAGTATGTTCTTCATTTATTATGTTACTCCATGATCTGGGCAGTGACTTGGACACTGAAGAACCAGCAGTGAACTTTGTGATTGGTGCAGTTCTTCATGACAATATACCATGGGAAATAAAATTCAAACCATGTTGTTGGGCAACGGGTGTGATTAAACTAAACTGCGGTAACTTAAGTTCATTTATATCGAAACCACAAATGCCAGGACTGCCTGTACAAAGTGAGCATACACCACAGAAGCTAGAAAAATTAAAGTGACCCATGGAATCAGAAAGGTTAAATAATGAGAAAAAATAAAAAATAATAATTACAAAAAATTTTTTTAAAAATTAAAAGGATAGTACATATTTTAAGATTAATAATGTGGTCTGTTAAAAACAAGAAAGTATGTATACAGAGTTAAGGAGTGTTACAAACGTAGTAGTAACATTAAGAGAACAATGTGCTTAGAGCTGGAGTGTTTCTTTTTCTTTTTTGTGTCTGTGGAATAATTGGAATCTTCTATGTATCTTTGTTGAAAATATAAAATGGTACAGCTACTTTGGAAAACAGTTTGACAGTACTTCACAAAGTTAATTATAAAGTTACCAAAAAAAAAAAACTTTAATTCCACTTTTTAGATGCGAAGCCCCAGAAAAATGAGAACATTATGTCCACACAAAATATTCATACTAGAAGTTCATCCCAGTATTTCTGTTAACAGCCCAAAGCAGAAATAACACACATATTCAATATCCACAATATTAGTAGTGAATAAATAAAACATGGTGCATTAATACAGAGTGTAATTCACCCATAAAAAGAAATGATGAAGTAGGGCTGGCACTGTGGTGTAGTGGGTTAAACTGCTATATGTAATACATCCCATACGAGCACTTGTTTGAATCCTGGCTTCTCTACTTACCTCTTGCTCCCTCCTCTAGTCCCCCCAACCCACTGATTTCACTTCTATTATTACAATTGTATAGTTCTTCATGAACATTCATAAGCCCATTAATTTCGCTTTTTAAATGTGTCCTGACATTGCAGGCATGGACAATGGCAGAGTCTAGCATCCTGTTGTCAAGACATAATAAACAGTTTCATTGGAAGTTCATCTTTGATTTGGAAATAGAGATGTACATTATATTTATAATAACATCCGAATATGATAGTCTCCATTACATAGGTACTATATATCCCCTTAAATGAAAAGTCATGAAACAAAATCAATAAATGAAACAAAAGTAGATATTTACAACACCATAAAATTAAAATAGCATGCTACTGAATGACTAATGTATTGCTGAAGAATGAAAAAGAAAAGTAAGAACTTCTTTGAAGAAAATGATACAGCTGTATAATCTATAGGTCAATTAGAAATTTAATATGAAAAAAATGAAGAAATTAAAAACACTGAATGCATGAGATACAGTTTCTATCTTTGTTGCTGAAATGCGACTCCTGCAGGCAACAAATAGATTGGTTTTGTTATTTTGATCCAGTCCACTAATCAATGACATTTCATTGGTGAGTTTAAGCCATTTACATTCACAGTTAATATGGATATGTGGTAATTTGGTCCTGTCATTTCAGGATTGTTTGATTTAGTCCTCTACTGCATTTTATTGAGATGTTCTCTGCATTTGCCTTTGGTTTTGGTGGGTGCTATTCCTTTTCTCTGTCAAGAGAACATCTTTAAGTGTCATTTGTAGGACAGATCCAAAAGAGGCACATTATTTGAACTTTTCTTTACTGTGGAAGAATTTTATTTCATTTTCGAAGACAAACGAAAGCTTTGCTGGGTATGTTATTCTGGGCTGATAATTACTTTCTTTTAGAACCTGGAATATGTCTGTCCATTCTCTTCTGTAGAGTTTCCTTCGAGAGGTCAGCTGTGAGTCTGATTGGAGTTCTTTTATAATAGATTTTTTTCACGAGCACATTCAAGGATCTTATCTTTATGTTCGATTGAACAGAGCTTGATTATCATGTGTCATGGTGAAGATTACCTTTGGTCAATCCTAATAGGAGCTCTGCGTCCCACCTGTATGTTGATTTGCAATCCTTTATCCATATTATAGAAGCTTTTGTTTATAATTTCATCGAATAAATTTGTAAACCCAGCTTCCTTTTCTGCAACTTCCAAAACTCCCATAACTCTTATATTAGGCCTTCTAATAGTGTCCCTTAATTTCTGAATACTTTTTTAGCTTGGCCCAGTTCCACTCCCAGCTTTTTGTATACTTCCCCATTGTGGCAAAAAATATCTTCCAATTCTGAGATTATTTCCTCTGTTTCATTCATTTTATTATTGAGACTTTCCACTAAATTTTTAAATTGTGTCCACTATTTCCAATAATTTGGCTTGATTTTGTTTCAGTGTTGCTATTTCCTTAAATTCCTGTATGTGTCTTGTTGTTGATAAGACACTTGATGACAAGTTTTTAAAGTTCTTTATCCTCCATTTTCTTGATATATTCCTCAGTCAACTCTGAGATCGGCAAAGGCTTTTGCTCCTTTGAAGGGGAGTCTTCAGTAATATTCATGTATAGTAATGAAAAATACCTTTAATTTTTAAAAAATCAAATTTGGTATTGTGGTGCAGCATGTCAACTACTGACAGCAGTGCTAGTATTTCATACAGTGACCAGCAACCAGTTCATTTTCCAACTGCTCCATTTCCAATACAGCTCTCTTCTAATCACCTGGGGAAGCAGTGGTGGATGGCACACTTGCTGGGACCTCTGCACTGGGAAATCCAGATGGAACTCCTGGCTCCTGCCTTTGACCTGGTTCAGCTCTGGATTTTGAGGCCACTTGGGGAATGAACCAGCAGATGGAAGCTATCTCTTCCTCTCTTTGTGTAACTCCGCCAGGTAAATAAATAAATCTTTTTGTTTTTTTTTTTTTCAAAGAGACAAACTTAATGAAAACAATCAGTCCATTTGTCTCCCCAAAGGGAGTCAAGTGGGGCCTGGAACTGGGCAGTTTTAAATAATAGACTTGTGCTGTTCTCTGGGAAAGCTCTCCTGGCTTTATAACCAGTGATATATACTGTCTCTTCTTGCTTTTACTATGTTCTATGTGCATGAGTACAGAGAACTTGAACAGCATTTGGTCAGAGGGAGAATGTGGAGGGCAGAGGTGAGAAAAATACAAAGATAGAGAGCTGGGATTCTGATAATGCTACTCATGGGCCTTCCATGCCAGAGTAGTGTGATCACTGTAATTAGTGATATTATATTTGCTCTCGATATGTGCAAAATCTACATCACTTTTGTTTTGCAAAAATGCTTTTATTGGCACTCCTACTTCTTTTGTCCAAATAATCCTGAGTTCCCCAGCAATCAGAGTAGCCTGTTGAATATTAACCAAGATTTGCAAAATCTGTGGAACTCCAATAGTGAGTGCCTCTGAGAACTCTCAGCTGAGGCCAAAAGGGGCTCTGTGGCTGCTATCACACTAGGCATACAAATAGGAGACAAAGCTCTCAGGAATTCCTCCTGAACAGCACAAAACAGCACTAAAGCTTATAAAAGTCATGTTGCACATTTTATTGTGAACATGACTTAAAATTTCAGAAACTAGCTATGTGAGTCTTAAGGTTACTTCAATGTTAACTCTAGTTGTGTGCAGTGACAGTGTGGCAATTTCTAATGCTCCTGTAAATCTTTACACCGTAGCTCCGAAGGAAAAGAGATGTTTTTTTCCTCTTTCATAATTATGTGTAGGCAGTGTTCCAACAGGCAGTATCTGGGAAACACAGCAAGTCTTCTGCAATGTCATATGCAAGTCAACACACTTTAAACAAATCACTAGGATAACTGCAAATAAAAAGCACCTTAACCTAGCCCTCACCTCAGGAGCAGGAAGAGAACCTCAGGAGCAATTCTCACTTGCACAGCATCATTAGGGTTAAGAAAATCAGCTTAGTTTCCCCCAAAAATATTGTAAGGTTTTACTAGCATTTCTTTCACTTTAAAATATTCAGACCAACCACATCCATAATGATATTAACACTCCCTGAAAGTCACATCTTTAGATCCTGGAATTACTAAAGTTCAAGGGCTTGCTTGTAGACTTGCTCCTGGTCTACAGCTCTTTCAGCAGAAGTGAGGGGCTCTGTAAAGAAACTTTGGGTCACAAACTCATAAGAGTTTAGTTGGAGCTGGTGTATTTGCTGACAGCCTTGGCCAGTTTGCTGTCTACCTGGCCAGTTCCCCAGAAGCAGCAGGTGCCCAGGCACTTTAGCCTTCCTGGATATAACAGTGGAGCAATCATTGTAATGTGCCACCTGTGGCACCTCTCCTGAAAGCGCTCAAAGAATGTCAGTAACCGCACTGGGGAAAAAGAAAAAAAAAAAACTCATGTCAGGAGGCTCCTGTTTAAATACTTTATAATCATAAAAGGAATAGCTCTTTGTGCTAGCTTTTCCGCTATTTTTCTCACTTCTAAGTCTTGGCGACCATTTTGAAATCTTCGTTGATAAGACTGGCGGCACCCAAGGAGGTTAAGCTGAACTGCAACTATAGTGCAACTCAAAAGTGTTAGCAGCTTTGCAGATTTACAGTACCTTCGTGATTTCTATTAAAAAAAGAAAGATGTCTAGAAGTAGAAAGACTGGTATTTATAGGTTCAGCTTTACAATGACGTTTATTATCTGATGCCTGATTGGGTAAGGGACAGTGGTGTGTATGTAAATTAGGTGATTCCAGCGAAGCTTTCTGATTGGATAGATGGCCATTAGCAGGCATATAAATAGGCCTGGTCGCAGCCCTCCAGTTTGATTCTTTGATACCGATTTACTAATTATGTCTGGCCGTGGAAAGCAGAGTGGCAAGGCTCGAGCTAAGGCTAGGACTCGCTCATCGAGAGCCGGGCTGCAGTTCCCCGTGGGTCGAGTCCATCGTCTACTCCGCAAAGGCAATTATGCCGACCGGGTAGGTGCCGGTGCACCCGTGTACCTGGCAGCCGTGCTCGAGTACCTGACGGCTGAGATCCTGGAGCTGGCGGGCAACGCGGCGCGCGACAACAAGAAGACGCGCATCATCCCGCGCCACCTGCAGCTGGCCATCCGCAACGACGAGGAGCTCAACAAGCTGCTGGGTGGCGTGACCATCGCGCAGGGCGGCGTGCTGCCCAACATCCAGGCCGTGCTGCTGCCCAAGAAGACCGAGAGCCACCGCCACAAAATCCAGAGCGTCTAATGTCGCCTAGCACAGAATCTTAACGGCACACTCTTCAGGAAAACGGAACACCCAAAGGCTCTTTTCAGAGCCACTCAGGATTTCAGAGAAGGCTGTGCCTAGACTGGGATGACAAGTGTAGTTCTCCAGGAAAAGCTGCCGTCTTCCTAGAGGATGTTGGATTCTAAACGTGTTATTGGAAGCCACGTAAGACTCATGATCAAAAGCAGAATGTTTTTTAAGGGCCAGGGTAGACCTATAACAGGCGTTGCAGTTGTGTCAGCACCTTTTTCAAAATGTTTGCATGACTGGTGTCCATTCTAGTGCTGCAGCATTGGGATAATCACCTAGGGTCTGCGGCTGTGATACAAGTAGCGTTATATTTCAGGAGATGTCCGGGTTGTGTGATGATTGGGTTACAAGCAGAGATGTATCATGTTGGAGCTTGTAGTGCGAGCAGTTGCATGAGGAGCTTATAGTTTTTAACCCAAGTTCTTGTCCTCAAGCACTCAAAGCGTAACTACAAAGTGTGAGTAGGATTTCAAAAGTGGGAATACATGTTCACGAGTGAGCCTGGACAGCCTCGCAGGTACCCATCACGAGCAAGCCCGAGTTGCCTGTGAGAGAGCACGAGGGGCCTGCACAGGACCCGAGATCAAGGGCCAGAGGGGAAAGAATGGAGAGAGCAGCGGTGTAACGGTCACTTGCAGGGGATAGAGAAGTCCTAACTGAATATACAAAACGGCATCTGGGCAAGTTTCAGGCGCGTGACACTTTCTGGGAGTTTTATGGCACCTCCATTCCACGTGGCAGTTAACGGTTCTGGTTCCAGGTCCTAGAAGACAAGTGCACTATGGGAAAATTATTGGGATCGATTGACAGGGAAGCGGGGGAGTTACAACACAGGGCTAGGAGCACAATTTATCAGGAACGTCCTTCGGTGTTTCTACCTAAACTTCCCGGCTTGTACACTGTTGGCAATGACCTAAGTTAGTACAGCCTTTCTTCTGACTTTGGTGGTAGGCAGCTTCCTTAGAGCTTCTTTATTATTATTATTATTTTTTTTTATTGGAAAGGCGGATATACAGAGAGGAGAGACAGAGAGGAAGATCTTCCGTCCGATGATTCACTCCCCAAGTGAGCGCAACGGGCCGATGCTATGCCGATCCAAAGCCAGAAGCCTCTTCCGGGTCTCCCACATGGGCGCAGGGTCCCAAAGCTTTGGGCCATCCTCAACTGCTTTCCCAGGCCACAGGCAGGGAGCTGGAAGGGAAGTGGGGCTGCTGGGATAGAACCGGCGCCCATATGGGATCCTGGGCGTGCAAGGCGAGGACCTTAACCACTGCGCCACCGCGCCGGGACCAGAGCTTCTTTTCTTACACATGAGAATAAACTTAGAACATTATTCAGAAATAAGAAACAACTCCTTCCCCTATCTTGAGGAAAAGAGATAGATTGTAAAGCCCTAGAGTTTATTTATATAGTTCATATATTCAAATGAGATCATGGGGGGGAATCAGTTCCTAATTAAAATATAAAGAAAAGTCAAAAAGCAAAGCAGTGACCTCGGGTCATGTCCATATTGTACTGCTAGTTAGCAGTAACCATTCAGACAGCAGAGAAAATCAAACAGTGCAGTAGAGTGTGGATTTGAACAAAAGCAAAAGGGAAAAAAAGGCAAGCATTTTAACAGCTGTCAGCCTCCCCCGAGGGAATGACTACCCGGCCAGGTCTGCTCTGGACTCTGGCTTGCTGCTAATGCATACCCTGGAAAAACAATGATGGCACACGAGATTGGAGTCGTATCACTAAGGGGGACCTGGATCGAGTTCAGGGCTCCCGGTTTCATTCAGCATGGCCCGTTTGGGGAGATAGTCAAGGAATGAAGGCACTTTCTCTTTTTACTCTAATAAATAAGTATTTTTAAGTGGAATTTTTTTTTTAAAAGAAAGCACATGTTAAGTATCAAAATGAAAATAGACACGACAGAACTGAATAGTACCCTATAACCATTTTAAGGTGTGGAGCAGCTGGTTGTGTATAAACTAAAATTGAAATGTCAATGAAATAGTCACAGGATGTGATTAAGAACTTGCACTTTCTAACATATTTTTCACTCAATATCATGTTAATTAACTCCATAATACTGTAAATTGTTGTCGATGTTATGTTGTAGCCTTTTATTGGAGGGGATGATATTCTGCCAGCTCTTCTTTCAGATCAGGGATGGTCTCCCAAGAAAACTGTTGAACTTATCTGGACAATAAGAGGCTGGACTCTGTGCATGATACATGCTCGCAATGAAGGAATCATGACTGGTTATGAACTGTACAACTGTAACAAAGTGGAGGAATCCAACATGGAGGGAGGGCATGGGGAGGAGCTGGGGGAATCCCAGAGCCTATGAAACTGTGTCATAAATTGAAAAAAAAAAAAGAATGCACATGTTAAAAGGGGTTGTGAGAACTGATTGATTTGATTGGACACCTTAATGTAAACAAGGACTTTTACTTTGCAGTTTTAACTTCTGTTATGTCAATGTTTTGAAAATTCTCTTGTCGTCAACAGCAGCCTTAGAGGCAGGTGTTTTATGCAGCAGACAAGCTTCCTTTTGGGATAACTTCCAGCCCAGGACTGCCTGGACCCAAGTCCTGCCTCTATTTTCAGTTCTTCCTGCTAATGTGCATCCTGGGTGGCAGTAGAGTAGTGATACAGGGCAGGTAGGCAGGAGTTACTCAGGTCCAGATGAGCAGGAATTTTTGCCATCCCTGCAATGTAACTTCCTTCACCTGTCAGTTTGAGGCACTCACATTCCCAGGATGTGCTAGTGTTTCATCCAGAACCAGGAAGGAAGAGATGCCATGATAACCACATGGAAATTAAGTTCCATGTGGAAGTGCCTTAAAAATCCCAGGAAGCTTCACACATGCTGATTGCACTCCATTAAGACACTACACCCTACCTTGTAGAAGAGACTGTGAGTCGAGGAGAGGCCTTGTTTGCCCCATCATGCTTGGGTGTCCTCTTTCTCCTTCATCTCCTAGGCAGCAGTCTGACCTTGCTGTGATGTGTGTTCCTCCACAAGAGGTGGCCCACACTCAGGCAGGAGTGTGTGTGTGTCCTCTGTTTCCCCACTTTTAAATAAATCCTGTTCTCACTTGTACACTATGTATCAGAACTTATAACTCCGATCTGAATTCCTGTCTCTGGGGCAGGGACGGGAGAGGTGCAAGGACCTGGGTCAAAGATTAAGATACCAAAAGATTAAGACAGCAATTGTGACTCAAGTACTTGGGCTGCTTGTCTACATGCATTATCTAATAGGAATGACAACAAATAAAAAGTAATAATACTGAAATTCTCACCTAGTTGATTACAAGAAAAAAAATAACACTTTCTCAAGTGTGTGTAACATTTCATTTTCATTTGATTTGTTACCTGATTGATAACAACTATTAATTTAAAATTAAGATTAGCTATTATAATTACCCTTTAATAATAACTGAAGCAAATTATTCTAGTTTGCCTGCTGTAAGAAATCATACAATTCAGAATCTCCAGCTCAAAATATGCTACTCTGAGCTAAACCAGAAGAAAAGCATCAGTTCTTTTTATAAAAATAACTTTATTTTTATTGCAAAGTCAGATATACAGAGAGAAGGAGAGACAGAGAAGAAGATCCTCCATGTGATGATTCACTCTGCAAATGACCACAACAGCTACTACTGCGCCATTCCAAAACCAGGAACCAGGAGCTTCTTCCAGGTCTCCCGTGCAGGTGCAGGGTCCCAAGTCTTTGGGCCACTCTCAACTGCTTTCCCAGGACACAAGAAGGGAAGTGGATGGGAAGCGGGGCTGCCAGGATTAGAACCCCTAACCATATGGGATCCCGGCACATTCAAGGTGAAGACTTGCGCCACTAGGTCACCACACCGGCCTCAGCACCCATTCTTGTAATCAGAGATGAGTGATTGAACCTGAGAAAAATATGTGCAAACATGTTTTATTACAGTTCTTAACTTCCTGCTCATATCTCTGCCCTTTTAACTACCCCTAAAGTAAGTCCTTTGCCTTATTGCATTTTTATAATTTATTGCTTTTTACCAAACTCAAGATGGCTTTCATTTTCTTATGAAGGCTCCTGGACCATGTGAGGCTTATACATAGGTTTTAAAAATGCATATGCTTTTCTTCCTATTGATATTACTTATGTCAGTTTCATTTTCAAGCTCAGATTTTAAGAAAGAAAGAAAGAAAGAAAGAAAGAAAGAAAGAAAGAAAGAAAGAAAGAAAGAAAGAAAGAAAGAAAGAAAGGAAGAAAGAAAGAAAGAAAGAAAGAAAGAAAGAAAGAAAGAAAGAAAGAAAGAAAGAAAGAAAGAAAGAAAGAAAGAAAGAAAGAAAGAAAGAAAGAAAAAGAAAGATCACAACAGGGTAGAGCCAAGGTGTCGCCTGCCCTGCAAAGTCATGAATTTCTCATCAGCAAACACAGAAGTCAAACAATTGAACAGCATTTTCAAAGTTCTGAGGCAAAAGCATATATCAATTAAAAATTCTATGCTCAGATCAGCTGTATTTTTGTGTAAGAGTGAAATAATGTTTGGATAAAGACTGGGAAGTTTCATGATTTACAGATGCATCTTGAAATACTATTAAAGGATGCATGAAAATAATGAGATTAAATTAAAGAAAAGGTTAGAATACAAGAAATGATAATATCGGTTAACAGAAAAATCACAAATATACTAGCTAAAAAAATAGCAAGGCAATATTTACAAAAATAATTGAATAAAAATCTTTGAGTCGAAACATTTGAGTGTTAAAGAAGATGAAAGAAGTTAAAGCATTCTAACCTATGTTTTGTTCCTAAGGATGGTAGATATCCTAAGTTATATTTTAACTCAAATATATATTTTATGACAAAATATGTGGCCCCGACAGTGATGAATTTAATGTGAATATAAAAGGAAGTAACAATGAGAAAGATAATCCAATGGAAAGCAGGAGATTATGAAAGAAAGCAA